CAGAGAAGAATAATCATCTTTAAGTTACTGTAAGTGGTACAACATGCGATCAGGACAACTCAGATTTTCTTTTTCTGGCTTGAATTGTTCCATTTGACTATTTATACTGATCACAAGATGGAAGCCCAGTTTCTCAAGGCCATGTAAAGTTAAGCCAAGTAACTGAATACAAACCAGGACTTTCTTTAGTTATTAGACCACATTTAAAAACTTTGGATAATTGATGTTTCCCCCCTTTTACATCCAGAGATTTAACAGTATGAGGCCTCTGCCCAGGCTTTGTCTGAATTTACATCTGAAGAAGCAATGTTGGACCAGCTTAAAGATTCAAGTCATGGACATCACCTTCTGAGTCTCTGTGACAGGTAGAAAACCCAAATCCTGGGTTATGGGAGGGCTCATACAAAACACAGCACAGCTGATCAGGGCTTCCGCACTCTTTATTAAGACTGGTTTTATCACCAGACATGTAGAACTGGACTTCAGGTCGCTTTAATTCAGTTCATCAAATGTTTACTCAGTACTTACTACCATGCTTAGGCCCTGAGGACTCAAAGCTGATTAAGACTGATCCAGGTTAGGTCTGCAGAATGCAATTTAGTGCTTAAGAGACGATCACTTAAGCCAATCCCATCATTCTGGGGATGAAGAATCGAGGCCTGGAGAGAAGGAATCTTCCCACCAAGTGAGTGGCAGAACCTGGGTGATTCAAAAGTTTGAAATCATGGTAAGAATGTAACGCCATCACTCTCCAAGCCCTATGAAGTAGATTATTTATAGAAAAGGCAGAAAATAGAAGTATGATATGCAAGTGCCCTATTTTGTAGCTTTTGGGCTTATGCGTCAATCCACTTCCCCACCTGGACAGAGCACACTCAGCTGTAGAGAAGGAACTCCTCCCTCCACGCTGCCTGCATAGGAGCCACCACCTCACATCAACCCATGGCCGGGTCTTCACCCACACCTTCTGTGTTCTGGATGTTTGCAAATGATTTTCTTTTCTCTGCTAAGGAAGAAAGAGTTGCCAAGTTTCTTCGTTCAAACTGACCCACAACCAGACTGGGCCCTGGGACATCAAAATTTAAAAAGAGTAAAAATCAGACAATTTGTCATACTGTGGTGGCTCGTATGTTGCTCTGATGGTGGAAGCTATGCCACCAGTATTTCAAACTCCAGCAGGGTCACCCATGATGGACAGGTTTCAACAGAGCTTCTAGACAAAGACAGACCAGGAAGAAAGGCCTGGTGATCTACTTCCAAAAATTAGTCAATTAAAACTTTATGGATCACAACAGAATATTGTCTGGTTATAGTGCTGGAAGATAAGCCCCCTTAGGTTGGAAGGCACTAAAAACACACAGTGGCAGCAGCAACGGATTCGAGCATACCAATGATTGTCGAAGATGGCACAGGATGGGGCAACGTTTCATTCTGTTGCGCACAGGGTCACCATGAGTCAGAACCGACTATATAGCAACTAACAAGAACAAAAAAATCAGAAATAATTTTAAAACAATGATGCAGTTTTAAAGTTTATGACATGGATTTGTTGATAGCACACACACACATTCCTTTAGCAGAGAGAAACCACTGAGCTAGGCACCTGGGTAGAGAGAATAAGCAGCGCCCATCTGTGAGACGCATCACAATTTACGAGGATGATCTAAGGTTGTGTTACGTGTCACTTACTCTGGACACCAAAGAGTTATGGTGCTGCCTTCACAGGTCCCAAACCCTCAACAGACTATTTTACCTAGTATTATTTCTAAAATGCATTCACATATTCTCCTCATCCCGTGTCTTCTTCCTAGTCTCCAACCCCCACCCCTCCCCACCACCTCCCACGACCATCTACACATCCTTAAAAGGAGAATTTGATAGGTAAGCCCCTATGTGGGAAACCTATCCCATGGAGGTTTCAGAGAAGGGGAATAAATGAAATCATATGAAAGATACATGTAGAGCCAGAGTTTGGGACCCAGCCAGTACTCAAACACTATTTTTTTTGTCTTTCCCTTGATACTCTACTTCTTTTATCTGACTCTACTCTGGGTTCACACAGCCCTAGGTGTGGACAGCCTAGGAAATGGGGGGAGCTGAGAAAAGGCTGATAGAAGGTCCTCTGAAGTACTCACTCTACACTTGTCCTTAGTTCCGGGGCCTTCTGCCTGGGCTCAGACTAAGAGGACAGAGTATACATTTGAAAACTCTAGTGACTCAGACTCCACCTGCTCCCTAAAGCTACAAAACCAGATCTCTGATAAAAAATACAAATGCTTGTGAGGTTCAGACAGGTAAATAAATGAGTGAAGACAATAGGTAAAGAGGTCAGGCCTATGGCAGAATATGCCATCATTTAAAAAAATATTTAAATTCAACTCTTGAATTCAATTAAGAACAATGTACACATTGACTAAAATATATCTGTGGTTCCAGTTTGGCCCCTGTTTGTGACTTCTGACTGCTGGGTCTTTAAGCAACTGCCTGTATTTCCTCTGATTTGTCCTCCTCAGTTTTCAAGGCTGACACAAGGCCTCCATGGCCTTCATTGCATTTTTAGCTGCATGTAGTAATTCAGATATTTAAACCAGGGTCATGACACTGTCCATCTCGAAGTCAGAGTCTCTCTGCGTCTGGCACCCAGGGGGCTCTCAAATGTTTGTTGGATAGTGTAAACAAAGGATATTTTGGGATGCTAGTTTCTCAGAGAAAAGGAGCCCTGATGATGCAGTTGTTAATGTGCTCAGCTGCTAACCAAAAGGTTGTCGGTTTGAACCCACCAGCTGCTCCATGGGAGAAAGGTGTGGCAGTCTGTTTCTGTAAAGATTACAGTCTTGGAAACTCTATGGTTTCTACTCTGTCGTATAGGGTTGCTATGAGTCAGAATTGACTGGATGGCAATGGATTTGGTTTTTTTGGTTTAGTTTCCCAGAAGAGAAAAGCTACGGCTTATTTTAAGAAATAGAAGTGATGATTTGGTGGAAGGAGGCACACTTTTTCCTTGGTTCCTTCAATAAGCCTGGAAAATAGGAGCAGGGCTTGGAGTAAGGGTGGTGGGAAGGGCGTGGAGGAGAGGAAAAGCACAAACTGTCCCTATGATCCCCCCATAATTGGAGGGATGCTCCCAGAGACAGGCTAATGTTGACGAGGTCAAGGGAGAGAACAGGGAAAGACTCTTTGACCCTTGGCGAGACTCACTTGCCTGCCATCATGCCATATGTTCTCCATACGAGACACCTTTGTACAATGCTTTGTAGTGACCTTGGGAAATCACTTCCATCTGGAAGCCTGGGGTGAGTCACAGGAAGGCAATATGCAATTTCTCAAGTTTGCGTTTGACTTGGACTATCAAATCTACATTCTGACCCTTATGAAACACTATTACCCAATAGCACCTTGATGGATGCAATATTAGTAAATTAAAAGCACAAGAAAGAATTAAAAACTCTAATTTCCTTCAAATGCATATGGTTGGACATATAGAGAAGTCACAGTTGGATGCAGCTGCCAGCTTGACTTTGAGAGGATGGCTGACTCTGGGAAGCTCATAGCACTTGGTCAACACAGGAGCAAAGTGCTAGGGTTTGGAAAGGCAGTGGCTGGGTGGGAGAAGGTGTTGCATGCACTATTTTTCTTTCTGGTATCTGTCCCAAGGGATCCATTTGATATTGACACCTGAACTTTGTGAGATAGCCAGATCCTGGCTTCTGTACAAATATCATGATGCAAACCAGCTGGGATAAAAGCAGTTACCATGGAAAGCCCAGTCTTTGGTTTGGAAAGTAAAAGTGATATTTATGATGACCACAGCTATGGCTTGTACAAATGCACTTCCTGGAAAGTTTCTGTATCCTGAACTTTAGCATTGCTTTTTTCTTTTCTTTTTTTCCCTTTGCCCTGTGGAATTTGGCAAAAGAAGAATTCAAAATCGGATTGAAAATATTACCTTCCCAGTTAACAGCTAAAACAGGAGGTCTTGATTTATTCAAACCATATTTTCTGAAGACAAATTTAACTCTAAATGGAGAAACTGCATAAAGGTCAAGTTTTGTCTTGGATACTTTGAAAGAGTTGCTAAGCATCTTGTCCCCCATGGAGCCTGGGTTGACACCAGGAGGTGTTGTATGTGTTATTTCTGCATAACCATTTTTCCACAACTTACTAACGAGAAGTGAATTATGGCTACAGAGAGCAAACACATCCTTATGTGGGCATAATCATAGTTGTGGCCACACCAGTCACGATAGCAGGAAGAGACTAGTCGTTTTAGTACACTGGACTAAGAACAGGGAGGACGTTAAGGGCATGGGAGTCTGCGTCGCCCCTTCAGAGAACCAGGTCCCACTTCCTACCTGCCACTTACTTACTGCGTGACCTCAGGCTGCAACAATTTCCTCAGTTGTGAATGAGAATAAAAATACCACGTGCTCCAAGTGTGTGCAAGGATTAAATGAAACCATGCATATAAAGCATTTATTGTCAGCTCATTGTTTAAGCCACTAAGTGTAGAAATCCATAACTGAAACACTGAACAAGAAATAAACTTGTATATATTAAGTTAAAAAATACAGCCTATAGTACAATAAAATCTAAAAAGTAAAATAAATCAAAAGGAAGACTCCGGTGGAAGTGAAATGGGGAAGACAGGACAGCAGAAACAAGCAGATCAAGCTGATACATTCTCCGGCTTTAGGGCTATTCCAATCTCAGAGGACAATCACCCAAGCCCACCTGCGGCTCCCTACCCCCACCACAGCAGCCCCCGAAAGCCTAACTCCTTCCTTTGTGCCCCTTTCTCATTTCATCCCAACCATTACGGCGGCTGGTTTTCAAAGTTACTCTGTTCGTTTGAATCCTCTCAGCCAACCCCTGAGATTCTTCTATTCCTACCTTCCTTTTCTTGGGAAAAAAATATATTTTTAAACTACTTAAGAGAGACCATACATTTAATTTTGGCAGATTAAAAGTCAGCTGTGTAAATAAACTACTGTAAAGGTATAAACTATACCTTATGCATCTCCTACACCAAAGATACCAAATTTCTAGGGCAGAAAATGGCGGCAAAGAGTTTAATTTATGCTTTTTTGATATCACATCTGCTAGTTTCCAAAAGTGAATGGGCAACACAAAGGCTTGAAAAAATAATGATTTGACCATGAAGTCCTCAGTGGTTACAGTCCAATCTCCCTCATTCCTTTCCTTCCCAAACTTTTCCAAGTAGCGGGCTCTGCTTCTCATTTTTACTTTCTTTCTCCACAAGTCCTTAATGAGTCTCTAGTCCCCACCATTCAACAAAATTGTTCTTCAATCTTGAACTCCTACAACGGCCTGAAACAAAGCCAATGGCATATATCTTTAACTACATGACCTCCAACTCTCACTTTCTGCATCAGGTTTGCTAGGTCACAAATAACCTCAGATTACTAAACACATTTTTTTTTTTTCCTAATTCTCTTTCTTCTTGACTTCTCTACTGCATTTAACATTGGCACCACTCCCTCTTCACTGAAATTTTCTCCTACTTTTATTGCCAGGACTTTATGCTATGCTGAGTCTACCACTTTTCCAAAACCTCAGGCAAGTTTTGTTTGCTCTTCTTTCTCCTAACTTTGTACATGTCCTAAAGTTCAGCCATAGGCCTTCTCCCTTAAGAGACAATCCATTGTCTGGCTTCACCATTTCCCCATTTCCATGACTCCCATCTCAAGAGCTCTCTCCTCATCAAAACACTGATATTTGCCACTTATCTCTAGAGCAGCGCTGTCCAGTAGAACTTTCTGAGATGGTGAAAGTGTTCGGTATCTGCATTGTCCGGTATTGTAGCCACTAGCCACATGTAGCTAACTGAGCATTTGAAATGTAGTTAGTGGGACTGAGGAACTGAATTTTTACTTTTATTTAATTTTTTTCCTGGTTCAGTCAATTCGATTTCTACTAATGGTGACCCCATATGTGTCAGAGTAAAACTATGCTCCACAGGGTTTTCAGTGACTGATTTTACAGAAGTAGATCACCAGGACTTTCTTCAAAGGTACCTCTGGGTGGACGCAAACTGCCAACTTTTGGGTTAACAGTTGAGTGTGTTAACTATTTGCACCACCCAAGGACTATTTAATTTTAGTTTATTTAAATTAAAACTTAATTCACTGCACATGGCTAGAGGTTACCATAATGGACAGCACAATTCTAGATAGTTTCACTTAAACACCATGATTTCAGGCTGAATATGGTCAACATGAAATGCCTTCCTGAGCTTCTTCCACCTCCCAACTTCTCTGTCCATGCACCACCTGCCCACCTCACACTCAAAACTTGAATCTTCTGTTTTTCCCGCTCTGATTCCTCAGAAGCAGCCTCCAATTCCCACAGGCTTTGCCTTAAAAGGTCCCTGCTGTCTGCCCCATCCTCTGCATCTCACTGCCACATCTGTTCAAGTCCTCATTTAAACCTACAGTCAGCCTGACTCTCTCACTCTAATATATCTTGCCATCATTGCCAATCTAATCTTACTTTAAAACTGCTCCACCATGTCACTCACCTGTCCAAATGCCTAGTGGCTCCCTATTTCCTCTTATTCAGAGTCAAAATCTTTGTTTTCAGAAAGACATCCAGGACAATATTGCCCCACAGGCCTGGTGAATGTTGTCTTCCATGACTCACCCCCACCCCCCCACTCACACTCACACTCACACAGACACACACATACATACACACACTCACACACACACATTCAACCCCCCTCATGAAGGGGATTAACTCACTTGTCCAGGAACATGTCATGCTCAACTCCTGCCTCAGGGCTTTTATTGACTTGTCAAATCCTGTCTTTCAAGACCCAGTGGAAGACTCACTTCCTCCACAAAGATTCTGAAGCCCTCCCTGACATATCAGGTCTCTGCATTCCTAGAGAATTTATAACAAATGTTATCTTGTCCTAATGACTGTTGTTCCATGTGTGCCATCCTTTTCTACCAGATTAGACTGGAAGGCAGTAGGGGAACACGTCTTCTCCTGAGAGTCTCCCGTAGGACTTAGCTCACAACTGAGCATGCAGTGGATGCTCAGTGCTTCACAAACACTCCTTGACTAATCAGCAAGTTCAGGATAAGAACTGGACATGAAAACATCTGAGAACTCAGTCAATATTAGACTCATATGGTTAATATTTTACTTTCTGCCTCCCACCCCCACGCCCCAACTCTCTGCTCCTCCCTCTATTCGTGCTGGCGTTTTCAAGCTCGAATTCCTCTCATTACTCTACCTCTTCCCTTTGACCAGAAGACCTGATTGCTCAGTGGTTAAGCACTCAACTGCTAACAGAAAGGTCAGCGGTTTGAACCCACCAGCTGCTCCTCAGAAGAAAGATGTGGCAGCCTGCTTCCATAAAGATTACAGCCTTGAAAACCCTATAGGGCAGTTCTACTCTGTCCTAAAGTGTTGCTATGAGTCAGCATCGACTCTACGGCAGTGGGTTTGGTTTGGATTTTTTCCCTTTGTCCAGGAGAAGATCAGAGCTACTCAAGGCAAGGTTGAGGTATAGAGTGTAGGATTGCCTGTTTTCTCCTGGTGACAATGGACACAGCAAATGCCTTGTTTGCCATGTAATCAACACAGTTCTATGGAGGAAGCTAATACACTATAGGGGAAAAATCACGAACAGATCTGTCACTTAGTAACTTTGTGCCATTGGGTAAACTATTTAGCCTCTACAGGCCTCATTTATTGGGCAGGTAGAATGGGGATAAGGTCTGTGGGTGGCACAAATGGTTTGCTCTCAACCATTAACCTAAAGATTGCCAGTTCAAACTCGCCCAGAGGAGCTGTAGAAGAAAGGTCTGGTGATCTCCTTCCATAAAGATTACAGCCAAGAAAACCCCATGTAGCTCATTTCTACTCTGTAACACATGGGATTGCCATGACTCAGAAGCAACTCCACAGCCCAGGGTTTGTTTCTTAGGTTTTAAAAATGAGGCTAAAAATATCTCTTCATAATCTTATAGGATAACTATGGGATGAAATGAAATAACAGCTGAAGAATGTTCAAGGATGGAGAAAGAATATAGGACTGGATGTACCACAGGGAGAACACACACACCTTAGGATGTCACTGGGCATTTTCATTTTAAAGGATGATCCAGAGGGCAATGTTTAAACTCAAAAAAATGATCAAAGTGCAAAATTGCAGACTGTGGAAACTAATCTGAAGGAGGAGTATCGTCTGGAAATCACAAAGAGCCCGTGATGGCTGCAGAGGGCCACACCGAGGGGAGAAGGAGATTTGGGCAAGCTGGCGTCCTCTCAGGAGTCCTACCAAGTAATAAGACAGAAAAGAGCTGTAAAGGGAAAGGAATGGTCCCCACACAGAGGCCAAGCTTGGCACCGTCCACCCAGCGGTAGAGGGAAAACTTCCTTTGGTTTCCCACCCACAGGAACTAAGGAGGAGTTTGTAGCTGAGTTTTCCTTTTTCTTTTGTTTCTCCAGATTTATAAAAACAGGCACAGGAAAAATGCACCCAACTTTTCACTGTAAAGGTTCACTTTATTATTTTCTCCCCGTAAACCCTGCATTTTGAAAGGTCTGAAAACGAAACCCTTGTGACATAGTAGTTAATTGCTACGGCTGCTAACCAAAAGGTCAGCAGTTTGAATCCACCAGGGGCTCCTTGGAAACCCTATGGGGCAGTTCTACTCTGTCCTATAGGGTCGCTATGAGTCAGAATCGACTCGACAGCAACAGGTTTTAAAATGAAACAGAATAGGAAATACATAGCCTAACACAGATCAGTTATGACATAAATGTTATTTGCCTTCTCAAATGTTAGTTGCACAGGTCTACTCTGATACACATGGGATCGCCATGAGTCAGTCTTCTCGAGTCCTTTTCCAAAAATCTTTGGGGCAAGATGTGCTTCAGAATTTTCCAGATCTTAGAAAGGTAATATGGTTTATATACTGTATACTGTATAATACCACTAGTGGAGTGTACTGCAGCATCCCACAATCAAACACATAGATAATTTATGTGACTATAAAATCTATAAAAGACTCATGCCAGTTTAGATGGCTTTCCTGCCAAATGAGTTCTGATCAGGTCAGATTTTGGCCCCAAATGAGTAGTGTAGAACTTTCAGCCTACAAAGCTTTTGAACTCAGGAATTCCAAAGCAATTGTGTACCTGTACTATATATTATTTTAGACAGTTTTTTTTTTTTTAGGAGATGGTCTTTTTTGAAAGTAAAACACAATTTCCATTAAGGTTTCTGAAATGTAAAAAATAGTGGGTAGAAACTGTTACCTCTTTAGAGACCTTGAGGCATTTGGTGACCTTAGGTTTTTAGAATCACCATTAAAAAAAATCTGAATAATAGTAAAAAATTAGTGTTCTGTTTTAAACATGATGTTTCTAAAATACTTTGATAAATTTTTGGGAACTCCTGTGGGTAAAGTGATCAACTGCTAAGTGAAAAGTCGGTGGTTCGAAGCCACCAGTGACTTCGAGGGAGAAAGATGTGGTAGTCTGCTTGAGTAAAGATTTACAGCCTTGGAAACCCTATGGGGTCACTATAAGTCAGAATCAACTCGATGGCAGTGGTTTTTCTTTTTTTGGTTCAAACCAGAGTTTATACTATAGGAATACATATAGTTTGCATAGTATAAACCAGAGTTTATACTAGAAAAAGCACGATTGCTATTTTGAATCAGATAAGTCTTTGTCGTGGGGGCTGTCCTATGCATTATAGGATGTATAGCAGGATCCCTGACCTCTACCCACTAGGTGCCAGTAGCAGCCCCCAGTACAATGGTGACAATGAAAAACATCTCTAGACACTGCCAGATTGCCCCTAGTTGAGAATCACTAGACATTCTTTAGGAATGGTTTGCTATTCTGAGGTTTCATCCCTCTCCTAGAGCTTCCTTTTACAAAATCCATTTCTGAGATTCTCCTTTAGTTATTTCCCAATGGCAGTGAAATTAAAAAAAAAAAAAAAAAAAGAAAACAAACCAGCAACAGGGTTACAGATATGGGTAAACTTCAAGAACATTTTCATTATAAGAGGTCAAACTACATGGTCAACTTATAAACAGCAGGTTTCTAACTGGCAACTAGATGCCCTGGCAATAAGCTAAATGTGGA